GGGCCCCCCCCCCCCCCCCCCCCCCCCGGGCCCCCTACCGCTGAGATGCCCTCTACCCCCTCGACGGGCTGGCCGTGGTCAACGTCAAGGACAACCCGCCCATGAAGGACATGTTCAAGCTGCTCATGTTCCCTGAGAGCCGCATCTTCCAAGCCGAGAACGCCAAGATCAAGAAGGAGTGGCTGGAGGTGCTGGAGGAGACCAAGCGCAACCGGGCCCTCAGCGAGAAGCGACGCCTGGAGCAGGAGGCCCTGCCCCGGCCCGCCCCGACGCCCCCCGAATCCACCAACCCCTTCGAGGAGGAGGAGGAGGAGGAGGAGGAGGAGGAAGAGCCCTCTGCTGAGGAGGAGGTGGTTGACCTGTCACTTGAGTGGATCCAGGAGCTGCCAGAGGACTTGGACGTCTGCATCGCTCAGCGGGACTTCGAGGGGGCGGTGGACCTCTTGGATAAACTCAACGAGTACCTGGGGGACAAGCCCGTGAGCCAGCCCGTGAAGGAGCTGCGGGCCAAGGTGGATGAGCGGGTCCGGCAGCTTACGGACGTGCTGGTGTTTGAGCTGTCTCCAGACCGCTCGCTGCGAGGAGGGCCGCGGGCCACCCGCCGAGCCGTGTCCCAGCTCATTCGCTTGGGCCAGTCCACCAAGGCGTGTGAGCTCTTCCTGAAGAACCGGGCGGCCGCCGTGCAGACAGCCATCCGACAGCTGCGCATCGAGGGTGCCACACTGCTCTACATCCACAAGCTCTGCCACGTCTTCTTCACCAGCCTTCTAGAGACGGCGAGAGAGTTTGAGACGGACTTCGCCGGTAACAACGGCTGCTACTCCGCCCTTGTTGTCTGGGCCCGCTCTTCCATGAGGATGTTTGTAGATGCCTTCAGTAAGCAAGTATTTGATAGTAAAGAGAGCTTGTCGACTGCGGCAGAGTGCGTCAAGGTAAGAGGGTGGTGTGACGTGATGGCCAAAACAAAGGCTGCAAAGCTTGTAAATCCTCTTTTCTAACCCTAGGTTAGTTGTTGACTCTTGAGTGGGTTTCTGGAGAGGTTTCCTGCATTGAGAGGTTAATATTCATTTGGGGTTGGTTTGGTTTTCTTCAATTGAACAGAGGAAAGCATTAAGATGAAAACACACAGCAAGAAAAACCCTGCCTTTATCAGAAATGCAAAATGTGTTTATTCTTAATTTGCCTTTAACCAGCAGGCGGTCCTAGAATTTGCATAAGCTACATCTGAATGCTGAGTATTTTGAAGACTTTTTGTCTGTTTTCCAGGCCTGTCCTGGACTACATTTCCATAATTTTTTGCAAGACTGACTTTCTCGGGTTATGGTTTTCTTTCAGCTGCTAATAGGGGGGAAAAAAAAGTGTGTCTGTGGGAGTTATAATGTAATTATCAAGAGTATTTTTGCCAGGCAGTGTTTATTTTTCAGTTATTGATTTCTCATTAATAAGGCGAAATAAGTGAAGTATGACTAGGGCTTCCCCGTTTTGTGAGAATGATAGATTTGGTAAACGTGTAAGATGTAAAGGGGGCCTGCGCACTAGTAACACCTTTTGCTTTTTGTTACTACCCAAGGTGGCTAAAGAGCACTGCAAGCAGCTTAGCGAGATTGGACTGGATCTCACCTTCATCATTCATGCCCTCCTGGTAAAGGATATCAAAGGTGCTTTACAGAGCTACAAGGATATCATCATTGAGGCCACCAAGCACCGCAACTCTGAGGAGATGTGGAGAAGGATGAACCTAATGACTCCAGAGGCGCTGGGGAAACTCAGGGAGGAGATGAGGAGCTGCGGGGTAGGCAATTTTGACCAATACACGGGCGATGACTGCTGGGTCAACCTTAGCTATACTGTAGTAGCTTTCACTAAGCAGACTATGGCCTTCTTGGAGGAAGCATTAAAGCTTTACTTTCCAGAGCTGCATATGGTTCTTTTGGAGAGTCTCGTGGAAATCATCCTGGTGGCCGTCCAGCATGTTGATTACAGTTTACGGTGTGAACAGGACCCTGAGAAGAAAGCATTCATTAGGCAGAATGCCTCCTTCCTGTATGAAACTGTCCTTCCTGTTGTGGAAAAAAGATTTGAGGAAGGAGTTGGAAAGCCAGCCAAGCAGCTACAGGATCTGAGAAATGCTTCAAGATTGATGCGTGTAAATCCGGAAAGTACCACCTCTGTGGTGTGATGTGACCTAACGGTTCTTATGAACAGAGTGTGAAAGCGCTTACTGCAAATGTTGTACATTGAATATATGAACAAAATGGGGTTTTTGAGTCCCTGAAAAATGCAGAAGCCTAACTGCTGCATTCCAGAAGCTGAAGACTTAACAATCAAAGCCTGCAAGGATGCAACGCTTTTCTTGGTGGATGGCGGGTAGGGGAGCGAGAAGTAAGGTCGAGGTCACATGTCCTTGGACAGCATAGCCTGTAAGAATGGCTTGTGTAGTGTTTGTGGCTTGGGAAATACTGTAGTATACAATTTTTGGCCAAGTGTTTGTGAAAGTCTTAAATGTATGTACACCATATGGCAGGAAAAGATCACTTCTCATCACGTCACTGTAGGAATTCTTTTTTAAGGCAGTTTTTTGGTAGGAGGGGAGGTGCTGAAACGCTCCCAGGGTGTGGTATTCAGTGAGGCACGTCCACCATCCAGATGTGACTCAGCGCTGCAGATAAACAACATGGATTTGCACGGTCCGATTTGTTTGGTTGCAGTGCAGACTCCTCAGTTTCTCCAACATTCAGATTCTCTTCATTCATTTCAGAGGCCGATCTAAATTAAAAACGTTTTTTGTATAGGTTTTTTGTGTTTGGGTGAAGGGGCTTCTTCTACTTAATATGCTGGCCTGTCGGCTTAAATTACAGCTCTCTGAAAACAAACCTTCTCCTGTCAGAAACATTTGTTGCCTTCAGAGAAGAAGTGAGAATAACTTTCTTCCCTTCCCCTTTGTGTTCCCCTTCCTTGTTTTCTCATGCACTTCATTGGGGTCAAGTCCATTTGGTGAAGTATGCAGTCTTGCTTGAGGTGCTGTCATAAATGCATTATGGGCCACTGATAGAAACCATTAGTGAAGAGGCATAAATACTTTTGAGATGTGCAGGGCAGGGAGAGGGTCTGAAGGTACTGTTTCATTTGGAAGAAACAGAATGCTAGTTTTGCTGTACAGAAGCAGTACAGGATGAAGAGACTGTGTGTGAGGCTTTTTGTAAATGATGTGATCTTCAAAATACACACTCTCGTCTCTCCTGCAAATATTGGTATCATTTCCTGTAATACAGCAATAACCACGAAGAGCTATTTTTTTCGCAGAAAACACAATGACTGTATTTGGTTGGGAACTCTAATGTAGACGGGGGAAGTTTAGGCAAATGCTTGTTGTTTGGATTGAAGGTGATGGCTATCTTGTTCAGTATGTGTTTCTGAAAATAAAATAAGCCAAGTGTTCTGTAAAGGCTGGCTTTAGAAAGCTGTCAGCATCACCTTCTAAGCTGTGTAAACTTCTTTCCCTTTAGTGCAGACTTTCTTAATTGTGAGAAAATCATGTTACAGCTAAGTAACCTTATATTGGACCCTCAATAAGCGTTCTTAACTGGAATAATTGAGTATCCTATTCCTCTTGCGCTTTCAAATGAAAGCTTTTGCAGTTTGTATCCTGGTAATGAATGCCTTGTGACTGCCTGAACAAACAAAAGATATCATTAGTAAAACATTCTGCATAACTGCTTATGCCGGAGCTTCTTCATTTCTCCCTATTTTCACAGTGCTAGTTCAATGCAGTTTTCACTTTAGTGGCTGGTTTTCTTTCTCTTGCTCTTTGGATGCCTTTTGAACTGTCAGGTTTTGCAAAGCATCCTACTGTGTCTGCTCACTTGCTCTCCAGTGTTTGAGCCTTTTGCTAGCAAATCACAGAAAAAAAAAATGTACAATATGGTTTTAAAGGGTAACTCGGTGCTCTTAGCTAAAACTGATGGCAAACCAGTTTTATTTTAAGGTGCAGGGACACTGAGAGTTAGAACTTGTGTGAACAGGTTATCTCCAAGAGAGAGCTGCATAGGCATTATTTTGCTAGTGAACTATCTCTGATATCAGAACCTAGTGAAGTATATTGAAATAATATATTCTCTGTCATCTGTTTAAAGTGGGCAAAGGTAGCAACCTGGACTTACTTAATTTGAGAAATGTTTTCAAGTGGATTAGAAGTGAGAGCTCTCCATGATGACAGATATTTTGGAAGAGAGGGAGAAGGGAGGGCTTTTTTTCTATGAAGGCAGGTATATTTTATTGTTTTCTTTACAGCAGAAGAGAGCATCTTGAAAGCACAGAATAAGTACAGATAAGCCTTATGTAATTTTCTTTTTTTTTTTTTGCTGTGCAAGAGAAGGGTAAGCTGTGGAACTGCAGCTCAAGACTGATTATTGTGATGCTTGAGAATTTTGTGTAAGAAGCTGAATTGTAGTTTCCTGATTCCCAACTCTGGCATCAGACTGAATAGGAGGAGAGGCCTGTTCATGCTTCTACTGCAAGCTGGTGTAGCACAGCCTATCCTCACCAGAGGATGAAATGTAGAATGTAATTCTGCCATGTGCTCTGTTACGCCTCTGTTACCGCTCCCTTCATCCATCTGTTTATGGCACGCAGGGCCTACTGATTTTGTCTCTGCTGTCATCCATAGAGCAGTGGGCTTATGGGGATGTTGGTTTTAATGGATCAGGGAATCTGGCCTTTCCTTTGCGTGATCAAATACCATGTTTGTGTGCCTGTCACAGTTCAAACACACGTGTGAATTTGTATAAACTGCTGTAGGTAGCATTGATATTTTGCAATTTGTGAATCTATTCAAGTCATAATAAAAGAAAAACAATGGCTTAAGGAAAATGGTGTGCAATTAAATTAAACACACTTTGTATGTTAATTCAGTTAACAGAAAAAGTCAACATATGCTGAGAGTCATGGTTTAATAAATTTCAGATTTGCAGATGGTAATTTTGAATGGCGCTTTTCTTTTCCCGAGCTGTACACCTGTGGGGTTAGTGTTGTTCAAGTTGGGATTTGCAGTAACTACTGAATAATACGGTAGCAGTTTTGTTGATTTGGGGAAGAACTAGTTGTATTTTTTTGTTTGTTTGTTTTGAGACAATTGCATATAAAATCTGGTTTCCGTTAGCTGCTGTGACAAAATTGTGATGTGTAAAATGAAGATTTTATTTTTAATTCAGATGAATTTATGTATTGGAATTTAATGCAATAACTTTTCTGAACAGTGAGGACCATGCATTAAAACTTTTGGACATACAAAACCAGTGGTGTATTTCTGTTTTTATTACATCATCATCAGAAAGGGGATGTTGGTTCAAAGTTCAAGTCCACTAATAAATTTCCAGTGAAGTCAAAGAGCTTCAGGTCAGTCATTTGTGCGGGAGATGTAAGAGGCAGCCAGGTGATGAAAGCCAAGCGATGTCACTTCAGTTACATTCTTACGAAGTCAGTGTGTGGCTTAATAAGGTGAAGTTGGAGGAAAATGTTTCTCAGCATTGTATCCGATTCAAATTGAGGAGAGGCTGTACTCTAGTCTAATGGGACTTCGGGTAGACGCGTGAGGCCTTATAACGCCAGGGCAGCGTGATGCTCTAGGGTTTTTACCTTCCAGAGATTATTTTGTCACTGGAGTCCCTTCGTACTTAGCTTGCATGCTGAGCGTGCGGTATAGTCCATCTCCTCGCTAGGTGGAGTTTTGTCCGTCGAAGCTTCAGTGTGCCCTGGGCAGGCACAGGCATTAAACCTGTGCTACCTCGCAGCGTGGCTTGGGATGGTTTTGTAGCGCAGTGGGGAATGAAGATGCTGCGCCGAACGAGTCAGATGTTAGGGTCAACTCTTTTTCCTTCCTTGGTAGTGCTTTTCTTCTGCGTTTTCTAATTTTTGTACTGTTAATTTCTTAATTTTTCATGTTTTCTTTTCCTGCTGTGCTTCTATACTGTCAGCAGGCATCCTGCAGAGGATCTCAGCTCTCTACATTTTCTAAAAGTATGCACCAACACGTGACTTCTGTTCCGCCTGAGGGACGCTCTGCTAGACTGCAAGCCCCTGCAGAGATGTGAGAAGTTGCTTGTCCCAGCTTCAGCTGTCTCGTGTAAGATGTTCAGCTTAATGACTTCTCAAAGTCAAGCTTGTGCGACCTCTTGTCATTCTGCTTCAATATCGGACTGAAATTCCAATGAGAGCTCACGCTCATAACGCAGCTTTGCACTCCAGCACAATAATGCAGAAGGGTCCCCACCACCAATTTTCATAACTTACGCACGCTTTACGTTCCCTTTGCTGCACAACTCTTACGTTTTCATTGGGTTACCTTTTACTTAAAAATATTAGTAGTTCTGCAAACTCCCAGCGTATTTTCTCTGAAGAAAATCAGATCCAGAATGGGGCTTATCTGTCAAGGAGCTTTGGGAGCATAGCCTGTAGATACATACTTTTCCTCAGACGTTTGAGAGTTGTGATATGCATTCAATCCCTGCAAACTCTGAAAGGTAGCGGAGAGAGAAACGCCGGTAACTGTGGGAAGAATATTTCTCAATCTTATGTAGTATACCGTTTTTGTGAAAATAGATTTATGCCCCTTATAATTACAAGGGATGCTGACTAGAGTAATAGATCAGAATTTGATTGAGTCACCTTGGACACAGAGTAATTGCCTCTTGAGTATTTAGGTAACTTTGTTAACTTTAGGTAACTTTAACCTGCTCTGGTGAGACCCTACCTGCAGTACTGTGTCCAGCTCTGGGGTCCTCAGCACAGGAAAGACATGGACCTGCTGGAGCAGGTCCAGAGGGCCACAAAAATGATCAGAGGGCTGGAGCACCTCTCCTATGAGGAAAGGCTGAGAGAGTTGGGGTTGTTCAGCCTGGAGAAGAGAAGGCTGCGAGGACACCTTGTAGCAGCCTTTCAGTACTTAAAGGGGGCATATAAGAAAGATGGGGACAGACTTTTTAGCAGGGTCAATAGCGATAAGACAAGGGGTAATGGTTTTAAACTAAAAGAGGGTAGACGTAGACTAGATAGAAGGAAGAAATTTTTTACAATGAGGGTGGTGAAACACTGGAACAGGTTGCCCAGAGAGGTGGTAGATGCCCCATCCTTGGAAACATTCAAGGACAGGCTGGATGGGGCTCTGAGCAACCTGATCTAGTGGTAGATGTCCCTGCCAATTGCAGGGCGGTGGAACTAGATGGCCTTGAAAGGTCCCTTCCATCCCAAAGCATTCTATGATTCTATGAACTTTGCTAATACAACCTCAATGGCGTCAACGTACCCTGTAACACAGTTCTCAACTTCAGGGTTACAGGCTGAACTAGATTCTCTGCTACAGGTGTGCTCTGTTTGACACAGCAGAGAGAAAGTACTAGCAAGAGACCTGGCCTGTGCTGACCACTGAGCAGTATTCCCCTTCCCGGTGGTTTACGTGGCTGATCAGGACAGCTTTAAGGCAATTTTAGATCACTCTTCTGTGACCTTGTGGTATTTATCCTCTCTCCCTCCCCAT